TTTTGTCTTTTTTGATTAGAAATAGTTAAATTTAAATTTCAAAGTTATGATAATTTGAACAATAGACCTTAAATGAAGGAATCTGTGAAAAAACAGTGCCAGTGGACGGTGTTAATCAGTTTTTCTGTAATATAAAAAATTTTTTGTTAATCAAATTAAATTTTAAGTTTGCAAAGAAATAACAAAGCCAACACAAAATAAATCAAAATTAAGTTTTGCTCAAACAGCTGATAGAGACAGCATATGATCGAAAGTAAGAAATTATATTTGTAGTGTTGCCACAGTGTAACTTTCAAGAATTAAATTTAAATACATAATCAAATATTACATATTTATTTTTTTTCAATTATTTTACTAAAAGTAAAATAAAACAAACTTATATAAAAATAAATAAAAATAAATAAATAAAAATAAATAAATTTACTTATTTATAAATTTAAATTTTTAAATAATTAAAATAAAATTAAATAAACTTACTGTAAAAATATTGTAAATTTATTGTATGAGCGATTACGAAAAAGTTGTACGCCGGCACTCTCTAATTAGTGAAAATGGCCTAAATGGCTATATAACACTAAAAACTGATGACTCTAAAATAATAAATAATTCCCCAAACAAACTTTTAGAAAATTCAAAAATCGAATCAAGCATAACAAAAATAGCTAGTGAAATCGCCATCGCTAACAAAATTAAATTAATAAATAATAAAAACGATAATATAAAACTTAGTTCCCCAAATCAGCACGAAACAATACTATCCAATACACGCAAAGAAACTAATATGAACACGCGGCAGGCGTCAAGCAATGCGACTTCGGGTCATCTAAAAGAGAAAAAGGCTAAATCAGTTCAGGTGAAAAATATACAACAACAAATTCAACTACTTCAACAACAGCTTCAAAAATTGTATAATGAAGAAAAAAATAACCTCCTCCAAAATAAAGGATCGAATCAAGCTGCAACCACCAGAAACGAAAACTCTGTTAACGACACTTGGACAGTAGTTAATAACCGTAAACGTCAACGCGATAGTCCAAGTAAAAATCATCAAGTAAGCCAAAAACAAACCAAGCTAGACTCATACTGGCTAAATGAACCCGTCAAACCAAACCGATACGCAGATCTCCAGGAAGATGACTCTGAAGAAACTGAAGAATCGTTAAAAAATAATGATACGGATCCAAAATTAATGAAACCTCCACCTATATTTATTGATAAGGTACATTGTATCAAGCCTCTAATAGATGTGTTAAATGAACATGCGGCAAATCAATTCGACTTAAAAGTGCTAAATCCAAGTCAAGTAAGAGTTCAACCTTCTACATCTGACTCTTACGTAAGCATTGTAAAGCAGTTGGAGTTAAAAAACACTGAATTCTACACTTACAAACCAAAAACAGAGAGAAGCTTTAGGGTTATATTGAAAAATTTGCATCATTCAACCGATATTGATGAAATCAAAAATGCACTTCTGGAGCATGAACATACGGCTGTAAACGTTTGGAACATTAAACGTAGAGGGTCAGGTGAACCTCTCCCCATGTTTATTATTGAACTTGCACCAAACCTAAATAATAAGGATATTTATTTGGTTAAGAAACTCTTGTATACTACAGTTACATTTGAACCACCTCACCCGAAAGGGGAAATCCCTCAATGTGCAAACTGCCAACAGTATGGGCACACAAAAGGATACTGTCACCGTAAACCTAAATGCATCAAGTGCGCTGGAAATCATGCTTCTGTAAATTGCGAAAGGAAAAGCAGATCCAATGATGTTAAATGTGTTTTATGTGAAGGAAATCATCCGGCCAACTACAAAGGATGTCAAATATACAAAAACCTGCAAAAAAAAATGTATCCCCAACTAAGACCTAGGGCGCCGGAAGTACAAATTCAAGAAAATCCTCTTCCTTCGCTAAACAAAAAACACATCACGACTTCTCATTCACCTGAAACATTCGCACAAATAGTGAAGTCAAACACCAGTAGCGAAACAGAGGAGAAGCTTTCACCAATTCCAAATAATTTTGTGGAAGAATTCCGTGAGATGACATCACTGTTGAAGCAAATGATGCAACAAATCGTAGTAATGACAAATTTACTGATCAACTTGACGACTAAACAAAATTCTTGATTTCGTAGTAGTCATATGGAACGCTAATGGTCTATCAAAACATGCTATCGAAATAAAAGCATTTTTAAAATTAAACCAGGTCGACATAATGCTAGTATCAGAAACCCATTTCACGACGCGTAGTTTCTTTAAAATTCCGAACTACGAACTTTATCACACAATGCATCCCAGTGGTAAAGGAAATGGTGGCTCTGCGGTCCTCATAAGGAACTCGATAAAACATTATGAAGCAAAACCATATTGCAAGAATGAAATCCAGGCAACAAACATTGTAGTACAAACTAAAGAAGGCGACATGACTTTCTCATCACTCTACAGCCCACCGCGCCACAGTATCACGAAAGATATGTACATATCATTTTTTCAGCTGCTTGGACCTAGGTTCTTAGTAGGCGGAGATTTTAATGCTAAACACTTAAAATGGGGTTCCCGCCTAATATCTCCAAAAGGACGTCAACTCTTCGAAGCAATAAATGTACTCAACCTCCACACAATCTCAACAGGTGAACCCACATATTGGCCAACAGATAGAAGAAAAATACCTGACTTAATTGATTTTGCGGTATCAAAGGGGGTACGTATTGAAACAACTACCTGTAAGTCCAATTTCGACTTGTCATCTGACCACTCGCCAATAATAATCACTCTCAATGACTGCTGTGAAATTATGGAAAAATGTATTCTTCATAATAAAAACACTGACTGGAATAGTTACCGTCAACTAATTTCAATTGGTCTAAATACCGAAGTCAGGTTAAAAACTGAATCCGACGTAACTGAAGCAGTAGAGCATTTCAACTCTTGTGTCCAAATGTCTGCATGGGAATCAACTCCACCAATTTCTAAAAGTGTTAAGCAAGATTATCCATTTAACATTAGATACCTGATTAAAGAAAAGCGTAGGATGAGAAAACATTGGCAACAGTCGAGATTCCCTGCGGATAAAACTCGCTTAAACAAACTGTGTAAACTCGTTAAAGCCCTTCTTTTAAAGTATAACAATAATCGCACGTCGCTATACCTTCAAAACATAAGTGCTTCATGTGATACAAAATATTCCCTTTGGAAAGCCATAAAAAAGAACAACAGACCGATTGTCTATCAACCACCTATACGCAAAATCGACAACTCATGGGCAAAAAGCGATATTGAAAAAGCAGAAACATTTGCGTTACATTTGGACCAGGTCTTTAAATCAAATGATAACCAAAATATGCCTAATGTCATGAATCAAAGGATTAATTTTCTACAAGAGCCTTATCAATTGGAACTTCCAATTAAAAGATATACTATTAATGAAGTTAGAGATGTAATAACAAAGTTAAAAGTAAAAAAAGCTCCAGGATACGATTTAATCACAGGCATGGCCTTGCAGCAGCTCCCACCAAAAGGATTTGTATTTCTCACTCATCTATTTAACGCTGTGATAATAAGGGGATTTATTCCGCCACAGTGGAAGATAGCGCAAATCTCCATGATACCGAAACCAGGGAAAAGCCCAGAAGACGTCAAATCATATCGGCCAATAAGTCTACTTCCGATCCTGTCAAAAGTTATGGAAATCCTGTTTCTAAAGCGCCTTACTCCGTTTATCCAACAAAACAGACTCATACCTGACCATCAATTCGGCTTTCGCCAAAATCATAGCACAATAGAACAAATTCACAGACTTGTCAGACATATCCATAGTGCGATAGATGGTAAAAAATATTGCACTGCGGCATTTATAGATATTTCACAAGCGTTTGATCGAGTATGGCATGAGGGCCTCCTGTTCAAACTAAAACTGTATCTACCTCTAAATTTTTTCATATTTATAAAATCATACCTCTCGGCTAGGCACTTTTTCGTTAAGCATGGAAACGAAACTACAGTACTTCATGATATAGAAGCAGGAGTACCTCAAGGTAGCATAATGGGACCAATGCTTTATCTTTTATTTACTGCGGATCTTCCCCTTACCGATAAGAGTGTTATCGGTACATTTGCAGACGACACAGCTATTTTATCAGTTGACAGTGACCCAATCCGTGCTTCCACCAAACTTCAAACCTGCCTTGATAATGTTGCTCTCTGGATGATAAACTGGCGTATTAAACCGAATGAATCAAAATCTGTCCAGGTAACATTCACTACAAAACGTTCTACGTGCCCGCCGGTCTTAATAAACAATACTCAATTACCACAAGCTTTAGAAACAAAATACTTGGGCATACATCTGGATAGTAAGCTAACCTGGAAATCGCACATATTCAAAAAGCGTAAAGCCTTGGGTCTTAAATTACGAAACTTATTTTGGTTCCTCAGCCGAAATTCCAAACTGTCACTCGACAATAAGCTGCTTATATACAAATCTGTACTTAAACCTATATGGAGTTATGGGACCCAATTATGGGGTACTGCAGCAGACTCAAACCTGGCAATTATACAGCGCTTCCAATCTAAAACACTACGAATGATCACAAACGCACCTTGGTATATAACGAATGAACAGCTACATAAACAATTACATGTTCGAACAATCAAGGATTTTAAAGAATTACGCTCAACGCTTATATATGCACCCAAACCCTCTGGTTACTCAACTGATGTCCCCTTCCAATACCTTTACAAGGCTGAGAAGAAAAACATCGCGAGACATTTTAAATATGTATATGTAGACAATACACTTTTATTTTAAATATATATGGATATGTCACTGGGCATAGTCCATACGTGCCTTTCTTTTTATATCGTAATAACCATTATTACGATTTAAATTTATATATATTACTTATTGTCATTCATTCCTGACAGATTGTAATAAATAAATGGATTTCAAAAAAAAAAATTTAAAAATTTTAATACTTTAATTAATGATTACCTTAATGTTTGATTTGTCGGTGAATCTATTTCCAACAATTCTTCTGTGCAGTTCGTCGTCGTTGATTGATTTAAAGTCCCAGTTGCACTCGATGCCATCGTCATTAAATCTAAATTGCTTGAAAATGTTGGCAAGGGAGTTGTCATTGCCAACGAAACGGTGGATGCCATCGTTGTTGCCCAAGTGATGAAAGCACTTGTGCTGGTATATTTCCAATAAAAGTTGCTGCTCTTACTGCTACTGTGGCTAGTAGATTTCCTAATTGATAAGTTATTTCCATTACATTTTTTGTTGCTATTGCTGTTGTCATGCATTGTTCCCGATTCAATATTAAAGCCTTCATATACATTGACCGCTTTTATTTATTGAGTACCAGAAATCTGTTGTATAAAAACAGCTTTATGAATTCCTTTAATAAATTTTGTTTTCAAAAATTTATTTAAATAATTTTTGTTTCCTTTGAACAAAAAAATAAATTAATTTGCAAGTTTGAGATGCTTGACTTTGTGACTGGAGTAAACACGATTTAGTTAATACTTTCTGCAGTTGTAAGGATCTCTCGTTATGGAAAAATTGTTTTTGAAAACAATTTTTTATGTATTGTTGCGTTAGTTGCTGGTTTCAATTATTTTCCATTTGAATTCTAATGTCAAGAGTTCAAAATAATACTTTTGTAGTGCAAATTAGAATTTTCAAGGTATGAATGTAAATTCATTATAAAAGTTAAGTTAAATAGTTATTTTCAATTTAATTGAGATGAAAAATTTGTTGTGTTTTGTTCGTGTTATTTCATTTTAAAATATCCACAGCCATTGACCCTGTGATAGAAAGAAAATAAAAATATATGTAATTATATTCATTAACAAAATTGATCAAATACACTACTATTAATAATAATCAAAACAAAAACTAATTTTTTTTTACTTTATTTAATTATATACTTCATAAAAGTATACTTATGGCATTTTCGATTGGTAAATCTGAATTAAATATAGATTTACTCCAGGTCTTTCAAAATTTTGTTGCCTCATAGTTTTAAGTTTTAGAGTAATCTAAAGTCTTTGTAGTTGTGTTATTAAATATTTATATTTTCATAAATACATATGCCGAATCACATTTTACCTGTCAAATCATATAAAACAGCTGTTAGTTTTAGGTTAATATTGTTACTCTGGAGAAATATCTAGAGTGTTATAACTTAATCTCTAGTGTTATACATTAATCTCGATTGTCATACAGATTTAACAATCGAAAATGAAAATTGCACTTAAAGTGAATCACGATTAAAAGAATTAACCCAGATTTACTAATTAAAAACGCCATTAATAATATTTATGAATTATTTATTTATAATAAGTTGTGTTAATATTTACCCCTGAGGAAGAAGTCAAACTTCGAAACATCGGTAATATTTATATAGCAAACTATATAATAATAAAAACTAATTTATTATTTGATTTATTATTCACTTAGTAAATGTAAATTTAAAAAGCGAAAATTTACTTTGCAAATAGCTTGGACTAGCTATAGAACCTTAAGCCTGGTAGAGAGCCTCAACGGAGATCTTCCAAAAACAATTTCCTTTATCAATCGCTTAGTTTGGATTTAAAACTGAAAATCTTTTGGCCGATTGTGTGATATTGTTTATGTGCTAATTAAATAGAAGAGAAAGCTCTTTGCGATTTAAACCAATCAACTCAATATTATAGTTTTAAAAAGAATGATCTTCGTGTAAACTATTTTAGTGGAACAAAAGGATGCGCATTAATACATAATTTTTATATCAAAATCTATGAGTATCTCAAACATACATATATTTGGTTAAATTCTTTTAAATAAATATTTTTTGTGGCTTATGTGGGTCAAAAATATTTCTAATATATAAATACATTTTTGTTATATTTACTGTGAACAGTTTTATGGAAAATAAACCTAAAAGTTAGAACTTTTCATTATACTTCAGAATTTGTTCAAATAACCATAGACCTATTGTGTGCAAATTAAAATGCCAACTGACTTTGTTATTCAGTAAATTTAGGACAAGTAATTTTTTCACGTTACCAATTTACTTCGTTTGAGTTTTCACCCTAATTGAGATGCAGCACCTGAAGTTTAATTAAAAGTCCAGTCTCACGTTCTGTTGTTACTGCAACTGAATACTTGGTTCAAACAGAAAAGGATTGTTGTTCTAAAAAATATACAACAATTTTCAATACAAAGCTAGAATCGTATGAATTCGTAACCACGTAGTTTCAAAGTGTTTAAGCAATGCAAAAGTTAACTAAGCTTCATTAATAGGGGTTTCATTACATCAATATTACATCAATCTTGTTAAATTACGAAAAAGATTATTATAAGAATTTTAAAAATACTATAATCCTTAAGAATGTTGTATGTTAATAATAATTGATTGAAGGAATGGACCAAATAATGGTCTTAAATTATAAGGTTCATAAATTGCTTTGCCTGATATATAGAAAATTCTGACTAATTATTGAATAAATGTCCATATTATTAATTTAATAACTTATGTACGACTTCTATTAAATTTATCTGAAAATTTATAAGAGCTTTCGTAAATTAGTAGGTGCGTTTTTTACATAATCAGGAAATGATGGTAAACATAATCTTCTATCTGATCATCCATCGAAATTGTAAAGAAAATGTGCTTAAGCTATGATATCATTAAAATGTGTTATCTATTCCAAATATTGCTGCTTTAAGTGAAACTTCCAATTTTATCAATAGTAGTAAGCACAGCATGAAGCGTTATCTTACGATACATTACAAAGTCTTTATCATTATTAGATTCATCTTATATAAGAACTATAGCCGGCTAATGATGTAATGCGTAGAGTGCACTTTGATTGGGTGCCACAACAATACCGTTTGGCTGACGATTTTTCCACTTCGAATTTTCTTCAGCGATGAGACTCATTCATCGTATAGTGGACATGTCAACAATAAAACTGTTACATCTAGGGCAATAAATGATCGAAAGACTATTGCATTTATAAAAAATCAATCCATAATGTGACATTTGATCAGAAGGCACGATAGACCTTACCGTTTTGAAAATGACGAAAGGGTGACACAAATCGTCAATTCTGATTGCTACCATTACATATTACGGTATTTTTTTATTTTGGTATGGAAATTGGAAAATTAAAGATATGTATTTGAAAGAATTTTAATTTGTAGTTTCAAAAGTTCCTATTCTTGTAATTTTACCTTTTCTGATATAAATCAAGCACAAATGATTATAAGATTTTGCACCTATTGGACTTACTTTTATGAAGTTACATGATAGATCATATGTTAGGGAATAAATCACTACACCCTTTGACTTTTTAAGTCATCTGCATAAATATCTTTCAATTCATGATCGAAGTTTTTTGTTGTATCCGGTGTTTTTTAGTTATATTAAAATTTGTACAGTTATTTTTTCTGAAAATGAAGCTGTTATCAAATTAATTTCGCAATAAATCTTTTGCTAAACGCGCTATATGGCAAGTTGCATCGTCTGACGTCTTGTTGGAGCCAAATGTCGTTGATGTTAATTAGTGGTAACAAAAATTCTACCAGCATGGCTCGATAGCGCTCGTAATTTACCGTAACGGTAGCTCTTTTCTCATTTCGAAAGAAATAAGGACCGGTGATGCCGCCAGCGAGTAAAGCGAACCAAACAGTAAATTTTAACTTGTGTAGTCACAATGTCCATATTTATTAGATTTTCGCTATTATGCATCATTTCAACTTCTCTGTACTTTTCAAATGGTTTAATTCATCAAAACTTATATAATGGATTAATATGCTGCAAAGAGGGGACTAAAACCCCCCCTCTTCAGAGAGGCTTATTTTCTCACGGAACTGTTTTCGCATTACTTCCAGAAGGGTCTCATTTATGTTAGCATTTCAAGCCATGCTCTTGTGATTTTCAATCTGCGTCCAGACCTCCCCTTTTTGCCGCAATTTTCTTGGTGTCTGCACTTTTTGTTAACCTAGTTTCTGGTTCAAGCCTATTTTTAAGAGTTTAAAGTCATTATAACCAGATTGATGAAAAAAAAAGCTATGAAATATGTATGATTGACTTTAGTTGAAACATATATGAGAAAATAAGAATTATTTAGTAAAAGATTTTGTGTTTATTGACAGAATACTCAAATCGGAGGTATCTAGATTAATATCTGTCCTTAAAGGGCATTGGACCTATGATCCTCAAATAAAAGACACCAGAACACCTGATGTGAAAATGTCCAGGTTTGGTCAGAACTAGGCTTACATTTCCGGGGGCCCCCTTCTTTAACACTCTCGGCGATATCTATAGCATTAGTATTGGCCAGATTCTTGCCTTTA